GGCTGACCAGCCCGGGCAATGCCGAATGGCTCCAGGCTGCCAGCTGCACAGCGCGTCTTGGGGCCGCTCCCCCGTGCCGTGCGGGTGTGCCGCGTCACACTTAGGTTAACTGCTCTCTAGCCAGGTGACCTAACTCTGAAAACTGAAACCTTCACCCCTCAGCTGCCTTTGCAGCCGTCACCATACTCTGCCCTTCTTCAGTACTTTTCAAAGGGTCGGGAAGCATTTTAGCAGCAGCAAGCTTCAAAACACCACCCTGGGAAGCAAGACCCCGTGCCGTGCGGGTGTGCCGCGTCACACTTAGGTTAACTGCTCTCTAGCCAGGTGACCTAACTCTGAAAACTGAAACCTTCACCCCTCAGCTGCCTTTGCAGCCGTCACCATACTCTGCCCTTCTTCAGTACTTTTCAAAGGGTCGGGAAGCATTTTAGCAGCAGCAAGCTTCAAAACACCACCCTGGGAAGCAAGATGTCACGACCACCATTTTTTAAAAGGGGTAAACGAAGGCCAGAAAGGTCAAGTAATTTGCTTAAGGCCATACACAGCGAGCTGGTGGTAGAGCTAGGAGAATCCTGACTTCTAGTCCTCTGTTCTGATCACTGAACAGCCACACAAAAAACTAAACATTAACCCTGCAGTTAGGCAGCATGATCTTGGGGTAGGAGAGCACCCAGGATGGGAGACAAGAACCAGCAGGCGAAAGGTTAATATTACCTTTGGCAGCCTCTATGAGGATCTTTAAACCGTTGTGATCGGATACAATCATCTTGGCATGATCATGCGCATGGCCAAAGGGCACACGGATGTCGTCATCCAATGTCATGACCCTAAGCGCCGAGCAGGCCTCCCGGACCACCCCGGCACAGTCGCCATGCCTGACAATGGCATCCGTCAGCAGGGGCAGGATGCCGCCTTTCACCAGTTCCTGGCGGTTCTGTTCGTGTTTCAAACAGACGTGTCGGATGCACCGGATCCCAAGTAGAGTCAATTCAGCGTCATTGGCATTTTCCTTCATGGTGTGAAGCAACAGCTCTTGGCCAGCTGCGTCGAGCAGGTCTGGCTGCCCATCTGTGATGGCAGACAAGGCATGCAGGGCCTTGAGCAGGGCATTTTTGTCTCCAGAGGCCAGCTTGCAGGCAGACAACACCACAGGCCAGGCACCTTTCTGCCCAGCCAAGTAGCGGGTGGCCAGCTGTTCCCTGCATTGCTCGCTGAAGCGCACAAGATGCTCAACAACCTCACCAAGTGCAGAGTCTACGACAGATTTCCGGAGCGAGTCTAATGTCTAAAGAAGGAAAACGGGGGTTAGTGTTCTCCCCTACAAGTGATCTCCCAAAAAAGAAAAAAAGTCCACTGAAATCATCATATCGGCATGCTTATAACCATTTCTTCCCTTAAATTTGACACTGATGAGAAACACTAGTCAGCTCTAGAGATTGACATTAAGTATTAGGCACATGATGAGGTCAGAGCCAGCCTGCACTGCTCTTCCTCCTGTAGGGCGCCTCACTCAGGGACCAGTTCTCGGGATGAGAGGGGAATGCGGGCCCTCTGCCCCATTCAGACTTTGGCTTTCTGCAGAGTTTGCCTGCCCCTTCTAATGGGGATTTTTCTGAAGTGGACGAACTTGCCTATTAGCAATTGGATTGGGTCCCACTAACTCATTTCATACAGGCCATAGAACAGGCAGCAGGAAATAAGACCATAAAAGCTGAATCTGAATATGGCTCATCTTTCCCAGGATCCTGTCTCTGACAGTAGCCAGTAAGGGAGCATCAGGGAGAGTGTTTGGGACAAAGCAATTATGGAGCGTTTCACCCATGATCCTTTTCTGGCAGCCAGAGGCATAGGCTCACTCCGAGCCTCGGGTTGCATCCCTGACCACTTTGGCTAGTAGCCATTAACGGGCCTGTCCTCCATGAGCATCCCCAGTTCTTTTTGGAACCCCAGTAACACTTTTAGCTGTCACAACATCCACAGCAATGAGTTTCACTCACAACAATTTGTGCATTGTGTAAAAAAAGTGTTTCCTCTTTATATTAAACCTGCTGCCTACTAATTTCACTGGACAATGCCTGTTTTTGTATTAGCAGAAAGGGCAAATAATATTTTATGCTCACTTTATTTTCCTCACTATCTGTGATTCTGTATACCTCTAGCCTCTCATCCCAGTCATCCTTTTCCTAACATGAGCAAACCCTAACCTATTTAGTCTCTCCTCATGTGGAAACCATTCCAGACCCTAGATCATCTTGGCTGCCATTCTCTGAATCTTTTCCAGTTCCTCTGTATCATTTCTGAGATGGAGACACAAAAACTGGACACGATGTTCAAGGCGCACCATGGATTTACAAGGGGCTTTATGGTACTTTATCTTATTTTCTACCCTGTCCTAAGGGTTTGCAACATATTTTTAGTCCTTTTGGCTGCTGCTGTGCACCAAGTGGAAGTTCTCAGAGAACTATCCATGGTTACTCCGAGATCTTTTGCTTGGGAAGCCACCATTAATTTAGAACCCATCAGTGTATGTGTGTAGCTGGGATTATTTTTTCCACTGTACATTACTTTGAATTTATTAACGCTGAATTTTATCTGGCATTTTTTTGCCCAGACATCCAGTTTTGCAAGATCCCTCGCTAACCCCTCAATTTGGAATTAACTATCGTGAATAGTCTGCAAGTTTTGCCACTTCACTGTTCACTCCTTTTTCCAGATCACTTATGAATATGTTGACCACCACATGTTCTTGATGGACCCCATGTTCACCTCTCACCAAAGCTATACTCACTGCTGAAAGAGGCTTGGCTGAAACCAAAGACAAGAGGTGAAAGGCTCCACATTGTATTACCAATCCTCAGAACATCCAGTGGTCTTAGTTATGGCATTCATGCCCTTTTCAGAACATCTATATCGGGGTGGGCAATAATTTTTTGCCAGGGCCACCCCGGAAGGGGCGGGGCCAGGATGCTTAGGAGCAGGAGAGCGTGCAAAGCCTACTACCGCCCTGTGCCAGGAGTGTGCAGGGCTTCAAAGCGCCGCATGCTCCTGGCAGGGTGAAGGAAACTTCATGCACTCCCCCCCCGCCACCAGGCCCTAATTGTCCTGGGGGTGGGGGAGCAGCAGAGCCTCCTCGGGCTGGATCAACCAAAATCGGCCTGCAGAGGCCCTTTTGTCCACCCGATTTAAAGACATTTCATGTCAGACTGACCCTTCTTTCTGGCCAAGAGCGGGGCTTGTTCCTGCTGGCCAGGAAATATTATTTTGCACTTATATAGCACCTTCCAGCTGAGGTGCTTCAGAGCTAATAAGGCCCAAATGTGTCCCCATGTCATAATGAGACCGTATTAAGACACAATGAGGTTAGCCCTTCCTCGGAGCTCACAGAGAGTCAGTAGCAGAGTTAGAAGTGGAAACCAGGGTTCACGATTCCCAACCGCTCGCTCAAACCATGAGACCAGTTTGTTGAAAAGGTACAGTGAACATTTCCTACCTGCAAAATGTCATGTTTTTGCTCTTGGCCATTTTCAGAAGTAGATCTCGGTGCAGCTTTTACAATAGTACTCAGATCAACACCTAAAAAGGCGAGAGAGGAGGCAAGAAGCAGTCATACAGGGATTCTGGTGAAAACTGAAGAACATTAGACTTATGTCTTTTTACAGTGGATTAGCTTAAACACGGGAGTGGGTTATTAGGAGGGTTGTTACATCTGTTGGAAGAGATACAAAACCAACATCTTGGTCATCTGCAATCAGAAAATACCATTTTTTCTAAGCAAGGGGCAATCTAAGTTAAATTCCAGCTTGGGAAAAGTTCATTCCGCCTCTCTAAAATCCCTCTTGCTGTTTCAGCTTGAGTAGTTTTTCTACCATGACTACTCCTTAAAAATGAGGCGTGGCAAACAATTTCACATTCCACCTCAGAAGAGGCTGTTTTATAGATAAGCAACTGATCCCTCTGCTCCTGTGCTGATTCTGTTCAGGGCTTTGGGATCTTTCAGTCTGAAGCACCACAGGAAAAAGAACAAAATGGCTTAGAGAAGCGCTGTCCTTTATTAGTAGCCAGTTTCCAGAAAGAACCCCTGAACAGAGATTTCGGGATTCTTTAACATCTCGAAGGGTATGTCTACACTACCACCCTAGTTCGAACTAGGGTGGTTAATGTAGGCAACCGGAGTTGCAAATGAAGCCCGGGATTTGAATTTCCCGGGCTTCATTTGCATATTGCCGGGCGCCACCATTTTTAAATGTCCGCTAGTTCGGACTCCGTGCCCGCGGCTACACGCGGCTCGAACTAGGTAGTTCGGATTAGGCTTCCTATTCCGAACTACCGGTACACCTCATTCCACGAGGAGTAACGGTAGTTCGGACTAGGAAGCCTAATCCGAACTACCTAGTTCAAGCCGCGGGCACGGAGTCCGAACTAGCGGACATTTAAAAATGGTGGCGCCCGGCAATATGCAAATGAAGCCCGGGAAATTCAAATCCCGGGCTTCCTTTGCAACTCCAGTTGCCTACATTAACCACCCTAGTTCGAACTAAGGGTATGTCTACACTACCACCCAAGTGGCTTACATGAGAAGTTGGCATTTTTAACACATACCCAAAAGCAACCGTTTTTTAATAGGTTGACAGCATTTTAAATTACATGTCTGTCATATCCTATCATTCCAGAGCAAGATGGATTTGAAATACCTTGAGATTCAAATTGCTGGACAGCTTCTTGCACAGCCTCCTCTGGATCCATGTCAAATTCTGCGATGTTTTCTTGCACCACATCATCAAATGTTTCCTGTGTGATCCGTTTGGATGCCATTTTATTTGGTTATAATAGAGAGACTGAATAGCTTCTTGACCTGTCATCGGGAAAGCACAGAATTAGTCTTGCTCCAAAACATTATGAAGTTTTTGACAGCAAGAAACAAAAATGTTGCCCTATTATCAAACGTACAGAATCAGAGACGTGTAGGAGTGAAAGGGACCTCAAGAGATAATCTACATTAGTCTCCGCACTTAAGGCAGGACTACATCATAACTAGGCCATTTCTTACTAGTGTTTGTCTAATTTACTCTCAAAAACATGCAATAACAGCGATTCTCTAAGCAATATAACTAACCTGATGGGAAGTTTTTCTTAATGTCCAGACTAAACTTCATTTGCTGTGATGAAGATGGCAAAGGGGACTAGGAATAGGACGTAGAGTCCATCACTTATACAGATAGTCCCCGACTTACAAATGAGTTACGTACCAAATATAGAGTCCATCACTTATACTGATAGTCCCCGACTTACGAATGAGCTACGTACCAAATACTTGGTCATAACACGATCTGTTCATAAGTCGGATTCTATTCATTTAAATGGGACTGCGCTGTTCGTAAGTGTGGATCGCCGTTCGTAAGTCGGGGACCAGCTGTATAGGAGATTGGTCGTAAGTGCGGATGGTCGTACATCGATGCGTTCGTAAGTGGGGACCACCTGTATAGGTCCTCTGGTCATTACCAATATGGCCCAGTTTTGAACTGAAGGTATTATCCTCTGACACCAGTTCAGTGGCCCGGCTGAAGGGAATCTGAGATTTTCTGTCCAGTTCCAAATGGAGTGGCCATAAAGCAAACCATCATATCTGGTGCTAATTGAGGCTCCTTTGTTGGGGGAGGATGCATCTCAACACAGGCTAAGTTTATTAACTGGCCATGGAGACTGAACTTCCAGCACTCTGTTAGAATGTGCTCTTCATGCTCAAGAGCAAGGGATACCATCAGAGAGAAGCCTAATTTGTTGCCACCTATTCTACATCTATTAAGTAGATACACAAAGGACTTCAGTCACTAGTGGTTGTCAATCGGGAGTAGGGCTGGGTAAAATACGGCCCCTGCCTGCTCCCCACCTGCTGCTGAGAAAAGCAGCTGCTGCAGGGCCCTGTTTGAACAGCTGTGAGCCCAGGGGCGGGAGGAGAGACTTCATGTGCTGCCTGCGCCCCTGCACAATCCCACTGGCTGGTTTGCCATTGGGGAAACCAACTGTATGTATTCAAAAAGAGCATGCAAAAAGCACCATCAAAAGTTTGAGACAGTGAAGAGATCCATAATTCCTTTATTCTTTAGTTACTGTGAAGTTGGATGTAGTACTGATAGATCAAATTCACACATACATTATTTTTTAAGTCAATACTGTCCATTTATAAACATGGGATTTAAAGAAACTAAGGCAATGAAGATAAGGGGCTTGATCAAAGCCAGAAAGTTTCTGTATGAGATACTACGGATTCAGAACCCAAGAGTAATAATTAAATTAAAAAAAAAGAGGATTGTAGCAACATTTGAGTAGTTTATCATTCCATAAAATATATTACATTTAATTCAGACACAGAGTCAGAAGCAAAATTTGAGGGGCCCTGGTTTCCACCATAGGACCAGATCCCAGCAGTTAGCTACATTACACGTTTTAAACATTTTCATGGTAGCATGTCTTTCCAGCAGGCACCAGGTTTTCCCCTGTATTTTGCATACTTTCCATCAGACCATAACATTTAATAGATAAGAGTAATCTCCAAGGAGTAGCTGTGTTTTTATAATTTATTATTTAAAACTCAAGGTATTTTTAAAAAGAGATATTCAAAGCCACAAGACTTGGAACAGGGGGTCTTTGTTCCTGACTGCAGATGCAAATATTCATAGGGCACTGATGTCATCGCAACCCTTCCTGTCCACAGCTCTGAACAGAAACTGCTGAGTTACGAGGATGGCAATTTTGCCAGGCTGCGCTGGAGGGAGAGCCGTGGGAGACAGAGCTGACTGCACGAAGATATGACAACGCTCTGAGTACCTGCCTGGGCAGATATTTCTATTTGTTTCAAAGCGCCGGAGGGCAGGTGCACCTGGCAGCGTTCAAAGGATGGGCGAGGAGCTGGGCAAGGAGCACCCACTGTTCTCGGCTCCAGCATCCCTGCCAGGGTCTCCACGCGGGCCTGGCCCTGGAGCTTCGGAAGGGCGGGAAG